GTTGCAGACAGGCAGCCCTGCCTGCAGCACGGCTCAGCCCTTGCAGCGTCCCACCAGCCCAGTGCAGAGCATCCCAGTGCTGCCCCTCTGACCCCCAGCCATGGAACAAGGAGAAGGGTGAGATGGGGACAAGGAAAAAGCCTTGCTCCAACATCTGCAACACCTCCTGCAGGGTGAGGTGGACACCAGCTTCCTGAAGAAGGTTGCCTGCTTCAGACAAGAGCAATGGAGCTGGTGGAGGGCCCAGAGCACAAGTGTGATGAGGAATGGCAGAAGGAACTGCGGGGTTTAGTCTGGAGAAGAGAAGGCTCAAGGGGGACCTCATTGCTCTCTACCACTACCTGGCAGGAGGATGGAGCCAGGAGGTGGCTTCCAAGGAAAAAGCAATAAGACAAGAGGAAATGGCCTCAAGCTGCGCCAGGGGAGGTTTAGATGGGTATTAGGCAACATTTCTTCACTGAAAGGGTGCTCAGGCATTGGAACAGGCTGCCCAGGGCAACGGTGGAGTCACCATCCCTGGAAGTGTTCACACACCATGTAGACCAGGCCCTCAGTGACATGGTTTAGTGCTGGGGTAAAGCTTAGACTGGATAACCTTAAAGTCTTTTCCAACCCAGTTGATTCTACGATTCTTCTCGCAACAACAGATGCAGCAGCAGACTCACGCCCAGCAGAAATGGCTTTATTTTAGAGTCTTGTATTCCATCAAAAACACTAACTTGCGCAAACCAGCTCAAATCAGTCTCTTAAATTGGAGGTAGGTGTCTCTGTTAAACACAGTGTAGTCAAAGATGCTCCAGCAGAGACAGGAGTTCTCCAGATGCCAGGTGAAGAGTGAAGCAAGTGGTATGATGCTACCCTGGTGTAGTGAAATAGCCGGATAGCAGGATGCGCTTGTCGTCGGCCTGATTCACAACACCAGCTGCAGCACCAATACCAGGTCCTGTGGCGCAGGGAGCAGGAGGTGGATGCTCCGTGGCACATCCTGCCAGCCCCTCCACAGTGAAGAGGTGCCAAATTGCTTCTGCAGGGCTTCCCCTCACTTCCAGCCGACTACCCAGTTTGTTCTGGCTATTAAATGGATCAAATGAACCCACACTGAGTTAGGCAGAACACGGTGCAATGTTTTACATGTGGCTTCTTTCAATGTCTGCCAAAGTGCTATGTTCCAACAGGCCTTTAATGAAGCTTTAATTGTCCTGTTTCCATGGAAGAGGGAACCTACCACCCTGGGTGTCACAGATCATGCAAATGATGCAGAGGCTTGGCACTGCAAACCCACTGCACAGAGCAGCTCCGTTTCTCAGCACTGCAGGGAAGGAAGCCTGGGAAGAGAAAATAGATGGTTATTCAGGCAACTGCTGGCCACCTCACCTGATGGGGACAAAGGGATCACCTCCCATCCTCTTCTAGGCACCACTTCTATCCTTACAGCTTCAGACCCAGACAGAAATGGGACAAAAATGCTGGTACAGGGACACAAACAGCAGCAGTATTTGAGCACTGTTCCACCCCAGGGACACAGAACTGGAATTATCAATATGCCTTTCTTCCCTCCAGGCTGGAAGGAAAACAGCTTGCTACCTTGAGAAGCTGGAGTTCATTGAGGCTGGGGAGATGAGTATTGAGAGGGTAACAAGAACAAAAAAATTAATTAAATCCATTTTTTCTGAACACAATTCCTTCAGTTCCTGCAAGGAACAAGGTCCAAGTGCTATCTTAGACAAATGCAGATGGTGAGAGACCATGGGGGAGACTCCTCATCCCGCAGGTCTGCTCCAGCCAGAGGGTGTGGAAAACAGAACAAAACAGTCAGGATTGACTGAGATGCAGAATCTGCTGCCAGCAGAGAAATCCACGGCAAGGCCAAGGAGCAGGGACATCTCACACAGGGTGTAGGCAGTAACCCGGCGGTGCAGCCAGCAGAGCCATGTGTACACTGGGGTAGCAGCATGGGCACCACAGTGAAAATTGTTAGAATTAATGCTGTGGGGATAAAAAAAAAATCTCTAAAAAACATCAAAGAAACCAAGCTGAGAAGACAGGACCCACTGACACCAACTCTGCAGCACAGTTTAGGAGGGGCCCTCGAGGCATTTTTCAGCAGTTTCCTGCTTGTTGGCAAAAAACCTGTTAATTCTCACGTGAGCTGGTTGTCTTCCCTTAGCTCAGTTAAGTTTTTACCAGTAGCCCATGGTTCACCCCTGGGCAGAGCTTTAATATTCTTTTTTCTTCTGGACTGGACAGGTAACATAGGGCAGAAATTTACAGTTAAGTATTTCTAGATTCCCCTGCAACTCCCTGGTAAATCCAGACCACACGAACTCAGACCTCATTCAAAGGACATGCAGATCGTAAAGCTTTTGTAGCTGCTACACTGATACTGCAGCTCTTGGGAATGTTTCATGACTGATGAGTCATGCAAGCCATGGAAAACCAACCTGGAGACTCTGCGTGTCTCTGCTGTGTCTGTACCAGGACAGAACATCCCATGCTCTCAAAGCAAACACCTTTCTTTTTCCTCAGATCTTTTCCAGCAACACAAGCATGAGCTGCATCTGACTCAAGCTACCTGTGTCTTATCTACCTGGAGGATCTTTAGTAGATTAGTACTAGTAGATTTAGTAATCCTCAGCAAGATGAGGATTAGTCCTGGAGTAGGAGAAAGCAAATGGAATTATCCTGAATTTAACCTTCAGCATTCATTTGTACTGTTTTCTTGTATAAAGGGGCAGAGCTCCAATGGCTTGTCAGATGATACCAAAAATAAATTCAGCTCAGATTAATATCCATAGCTCTGCTGCAGGCTGTGCCTAGCAAACTACAAACACCAACCTGCTCAGATATTGCTGGCCACTATCATGGCTTTGTGATGAACTTAATGACACCTCAAAAAACCCTTCTAGCAGGTGAGCTGTTTAGAAAACCAAGGCTAAGGCTGCATGTTAGCACAGTCAAGAGTTTGACAGTCCAATGGGTTCACAAACATCACTCCAGCAGCAGGTCAGAACCCTGAGGGAGCAGAACCAAGGTTGTTCTCTCCCGCAGATTAAGTGTGGGGTGGAGAGAAAACTGACATCTGGAAAACCACGGGGGTGCCTTATTCAGCAAAGCACCAACATGTGTATGTCAGCATCTACCTCAATCTGGCAAAGCCCTTACAGCTGTGTAGAGGAGAGCCAGGTTTGCCAAAGCCAGGCCTAGGCACGGAGCTGGAGCCTGCTGCTCTGAGGAACGTGGAAAGACAATGGGCTGGAATGTTTATCACCTGCAGGGACCCAAGAAGAAATCACAGGGCAATCAACAAAAAATTATTTAACTCCAACTCTCTGCGGCAGCTTCTGCTGTACCCACAACCTTTCACATCTTATCTGAAACAGGGCTGGGTCTTACCTTTCCAGGGTTAGTCTCAGGCTTTGACTCCCTGGGGTTTATTTTCTCTATCCATCCGTCAAAGGATGACCACCTTGGTTTTTGGAAGTGTGAAATGATGCAGTTTCTGCTTAACTTAGAAGGGAGCAGAGGCTAGAGTTACAACCACTGAGCACAAAGGGAGCAAGCGGCATGCAGCCATCAATTTTCTTTTACCAACACCCATGAACGCTAAGAAGCACCAGGAAGCATCTGCTAGAGCCATCCTCAAAGGGCAGACAGAGAAAGGGCAACGTGCTCTTTTGAAAAGGTCCCCAGGTTCAATGTTTGACATCAGAAACGTGCTAGTGAGGCAGCACGATAGCCCCACTGAGCAGGGGATGGGCAAAAGA